GCGTTAGGCCTGTAATATTAGAAAACAAAATTTTGATAAAGGGCTAGAATACATTTCTTCACGAAAGAAGTTTCGACCAGCAAGGGAGATAAAAACACATAAAGACTTCTTCGAGCAATGCATTTATAATTGTGCCAAAAATATAAGCGAAGAAGACAGAAAAAAAAAATTTTTTGATTAATACATTATATTATATATGTTTTAAACACGTTTGAAATGAGTATTCCACATCGAAGATGAAAGAAAAAATGCCCAAAACTCAAAAAAAAACTAAAACCTTTAAGTTTTTCTTTAAGTAATATCAAAATACAGATTTGCAAACAGTTCTACTGCGAAACACAAGATATAAGTCAATTACCTATATACACCGTTTACAAAAATTCTACAGAAACGAACACAATACACAAACTGAACACAAGTGTTCAGGGTTAACTTGCAAGAAAAAATTTTAATGAGAGAAGAGAAAAAGAGGGATATTGAAAATAGTAACGCAGTACTGTATTTGGACTTACAAAAAGTATTGTCCAAAAAGAGACGTCAAAATGTCTTTTAGAAAAGTAAGCTAAATGTGTATAACATAAAAAATTTAAATGAAGTTTTCAGTACTTGTACATTCCTAGATACAAGAGGTTGATTCAGTTTACGGTGCAATTGAACGCAGTTTGAGAAAATCTGAATACTTTTCTCTACTTTTGTTATTAAGAATCCTTTTGAAAGTAAACAGAAGAAAGCCTTACACTATACTTCAAATGAAAGAGAAAGATTTTCTGGATATTTCAACCTATTCACCAAAACTGAATTAGACTGCAGTTCCATTTTCAAAGGTGGTTTCTTTACAATTTACTAGAGATTTTTATGACATCGGTTTCCGAATCACTTTTAACGAACGTGAATACAAAATCATTAGTTTAAGACAACGAAATGAGAGGAGACATACTACTGAAAATGACGAAATACCCATGTCAATAACCAAACATGATATTAAAGTCACCTTGGCACAAAACAATCTGGTGGAAGCTCTAAAATCTATGTAGAAGTGAATGCCAGATGTAGACAGAAACTTTTATGTTCACATGTTTTCCAAAATGTCTCAACATAAATAGTAAAACTGAGATTGCTGAGCAGAAGATGATGTTATAGAGACTTTTCGTTTTTTAGTAGAGTCACGAAGTTCTGTTATTTTATTTTTTCAATAAAATAATGGAAAAAATTAAATAGTTTCTATTCTTTTTTAATGTGCTTTTGTAGTAGACTTTCATCTATTATGTTTAAAACAAAAGCAAATATACTTTCTTGTATATTAAATCTAATGGTGAAAATATTCAAAGTCATTTTTCTCAGTTTCTACATTTTGTATCATACAACCTTGTAATTCTTGGACAGCTTAATGTAAATAACTAAAAAAATTAAATTTTCGGTGATCTTTAAATAGAACTCTAGCCTAAAATGGGTTAACTTTTTATTACTTTTAGCCGGCACGAATTTATAAAACACCATTTAACAGTATAGTTATATATATATATATATATATATATATATATATATAAAGCTTAAAGCTATCTTTAATTTTCATAAATAACTTTTTAAACTTTGAGGGTATACAAGGCAACTATCGACCACGGTGATTAATTTAATCTTGCCCAAGTACTTTCGATCAATAGATCATCTTCAGGGGCATTTCGTCAGTTGTGGCCTATCCAACATAGTAGAATGTCATAAATGTAAAATTTGGACATAACAATACAAAATACAATACACTAAGACAAACAAACACTTTAAAATTTGTAAGGAGAAGCTACATGTTGTATAGAAGCCGGAGACAGAATGATCTGGAATGACATCTGGCATTCTGTCTCCGGCTTCTATACAACATGTAGCTTCTCCTTAAAAATTTTAAAGTGTTTGTTTGTCTTAGTGTATTGTATTTTGTATTGTTATGTCCAAATTTTACATTTATGACATTCTACTATGTCGGATAGGCCACAACTGACGAAATGCCCCTGAAGATGATCTATTGATCGAAAGTACTTGGGCAAGATTAAATTAATCACCGTGTTCGATAGTTGCTTTGTATACCCTCAAAGTTTAATTATTCGAACATTCAACCTTATATTGAAATACCTTTTTGTTGTCTTTTACATGATGCATTTACTGATCTTTATAATTTTAATCAATTAATCTGTGTATTTTTCACGCTTTTTGCGATAGTTTTAGAGTTATATTGGATGTCTCAAGTGTGCCCAGCTGTGATAAGTTTTCGATTTCGTCATCTTAATTTAATGTACAATAACCATTTTAAAAAATTAAATTGTTGTTGTTGTTGTTAATACAAAAACGTATACTTTAATTGAACCGCGTTATGTAATAACGGATTAAGCGCCAAAAATTGAAAATCGAGATAATCTAGCAGAAAGATGTTTTTTTCTAAAAAAATACAAAATAAAGCGGTTTTTGAGAACCTGTATAAGAGAAATCTCACGTAATATCGAATTAAAAGCCAAGTTGATTTTAAAGAATTATAAAAACTCTTACAATAAAAATTGGAATATCAAATCAAGAGCTAGTACATAATCCATTGTCAAAAACAAAAATCCTCATCTTCTAAGTGTAATAACGAATCACAAATAGTCGGTTAATTCTTTATTATAAAACACAACATATTTATTGTCTAGCTGCGACATCGTTTGTCAGATAAATCGTTATTTTAAAACAAAGTTCAAGCACTTAATGGATCATTGAGCATTGTGCATCAGTCGTCAACCAACTAGCGATAATAATGTTATCATGTTTTGTCAGGTTACACGTGCATAATAAAATTAAGTTAGATTTATTTTAATATTCCATCAAAATTAATAATCTAAGCCTAATGAATAAAAGTTCTAGAAGTTACAAACTGATGTGTATAGCTATAGAAAATAGTGCATTTTCGTTTTCCTTAGAAAATAATGAAACTTTATTACCAGAGCCGGAGGTACGTATTATATAATAATATTTATACAGTGAGTCAATTTAATACATCTTCCTCTTTAAGTGCCGTCTTCTAATCGAAGGTTGAATATGGTCATCAGTATCTTTACTATATCTACTGCTACTCTGAAGAGTTCTATAGAACTAGGTACATTTGAACTAGTCCCTTAAATTCTTCAACCAGAACACTTTCCTTCTTCCTATTATCCTTCCTTCCTCCTCTTATCTTCCCATTTCTCGCTATACTTTCGTATTAGTTTTCTTCTGTGTCCATGCTGTTCTAAAAATTCTCCTGTAACACCACATTTCAAAGGACTGTAGCTTATAACAGTGATGTAACCCTAGATATAATGTTTACCTTGTATAAAGAAGAAAATCAGGATAGTGTTTCTTTTTCTTTCTATAAACGCATATTTTATGACGTTTTAATTTGTAAAGGAAACAACTTAAAAAGGACACATGCAATAAATGCGATAACTTTGCAGTTAAAATCAAAAGCTCTACATCTGAGCAAGAGAAAAAATAATTTGAGAGACAAGAGATACTCATCAAGATGAAGCAAAAGCAGCTAGAAATCTTATGAATTCAAATCTTCAAAAAGCTAAAAGTGAAGAAAATCTGGAGTTATTGTCTTTTGATTTAAAAAAAAACTCTACCTCTACCACGCATTCCAACCAACATTGTGTTTTACAAAAGGCAGCTGTGTCTTTATAACTGCGGAGCACGTTCAGGAAACACTGGGCGAGGCCATTGCTATGTTTGGGTTGCAGGCACAGCAGGAAAAGGAGCACAAGATGTAGGTTCTGTTTTATTAAAATATATGCAAGAGAACCTAACACCTTAAGTAACTCAATTGATATCATGGTATGACAATTGCGGAGATATAAACCGCAATAATAAAACTGTGATGCTTTTAAAATCTGCGCTTAAGCTTATACCTTCTTTAAAAAAAAAAAAGATTCGCTTTCTAGTATCAGGACACAGTTTTATGCCCAATGACTCCGAATTTGGAGATCAAAAATTGCAGAAAATGAAACAAATTAATGGTTCAAATGGTGAAAAAAGAAGAGTTCAAAGGAGTTTGCGATATTTTAAAACATGTTGTAAATAGAGAAAGAAAGATATAAATGGGAATTCCATTAACTGGCTTCAAACTAAAGAAATACTCCTCATAGAAGAAAATCCGTTTAAAATATATTTCAGCAAAAATCACGCTGGAAATTTGCAATAAGTAAAAGAGTCAGAAGAAATACGAGGACTACAGAATTTTTATATTCCTCCAAACTGCAAATTTTGCGGCCTAATGGGAAACCTGTCTCTATTCCAAACCTTAATGACATAATGTCGTTAATGAAGCTTATTCCATTGGATGCCAAACAATTCTACGAAAATATCGTAGGAAATGCAGGCATTCAAGATGATATTGACGGCTTTAACTTCGCTAGATTTCGATATTAAAGACCTATCATAGTATCTTCTGTAAACGATATAACTTTTTATATGTATTAAAGCTAAGAATTTAATAAACGTTATTATATTATAACACGTATTTTTTATTTTGAAATGTCAGATTAAGCTCCAAATTTGTCTTTTAATCCGGTATTTCGATCTTAAATCATACATATCTTAAAAAAATTATTAACGAATTAAGCGACATTTGATCGAATGACTTTTAAAATATAAATTATGTTTAAAAAATTTAAAAAACATAAGTTTTTTATATTTGAAATACTCTATCAAAATATAAAACTTGTCAGTACTATAATATAGAAAGAGCACGAAAAACAAATTTAAAATCTTTAAACCCATTTTTCTCTAAACTACATTTTGGCACTTAATCCGATAGTATATAACGCGGTCCAATTAGACCAAAGTAAACTCACTAAAATTGTAATTTCCCTAAAAACTTAGAGTAAAAAATATTGAATACCGCTTTCGTTAAGAATAATGCAGAATAGTGAAATTAAAGCTGTTTTCTACAAAAACAAATAATCAGCATAAATAATATTAATTTTCAATGAAAAATCACTTACTTTATTGATTGAAAAAATCCAAAAACAGCTGTTCTCGCGATCGTTCCGGAAGATTCCTTATCAAAAACGCCCGAAACAACTTCGAATAAACTACGAGAGCAATGCACTAGAAGAAGACTAACTACATCCACCAAAGCGCATCATTAGAACATCAAGAGATGAACCCAAACAATCCGTTCTCCCCCTTCAACCTCTACCAAGCATGTTTCTTCACCATCTCGACGACCTTTCACAATATTCTTCACACACTCACGTTAGGCCAGCAGCTCGAGGCGAAGACCGCCGAAGGCGATGGTGGATTTTTTCAATCGGCAAAGATTTGTGCGTGATTTGATATTAATTTGTGTGATGTAAAAAATGTATGTTCAATTTAGTCTCCACAGCGATTTTATTTATAGTATTGGTAATGATCTTTTTATTTTTGTTGTGGCAATATAATCCATTATCTAATGGATTGTTAAAAAATTCTTTTGTGATGTCCTCAATCAATTCATACGGTATGTCCCACCATAATTAAACAATGGTACGATAATACCTAAAGATGTTCTGTTGTGCAGTTAAAACAAAATGTACATTTTTTCTGTTACATTTCTCGCATTCTGAGATCAGTATCCTTTAAATAGACACATTTATTTAAAAAATGAATAGTCCTTTCAGAGACAAATTGGGGCGTCTCTTATCAAAACTTATCTTATCCACGTTATGAAGTACCAGCGAAAAGGTACACCAAGTGTTAATATACAATAAAATGTAAGAAAACTTAAACATTAATTTATTTAAACGTACAATATCATCATTTTGGTAAAATGGTGGATAAGGCAAGTTTTGATCCGTCAATTTGGATTTGGCAAGTTATGATACAAAAAAAATAAGAATGGGATTCTTATTTTATGTATATATTATATATATCTGGGTTTATGGAGAAAGTTTTTTATTGCCATTTAAAGGCATTATTGTTCTGAAGCTATTTTCTTGTGGCATTGTAAATTAATTACTATTTAACTGTTTTTTTATTCAATTTACTGTTTGTATTTTGAGAACGATTTCCGAAGTGGAAATTGAAACGTCAATAAACGTATTTTTATCTTTAATTGTGGCTTATTCCCAGTTAAATAGTAATTAATTTAAAGACATTATTTCAAGCAAAGTATAGTATATTGTTAACTAAATTCTTAAGCCTTTGTCGTCTCCTGTGTTCACTGGCTCGCAAAAATGGTCCTCGTCAAAAACTTCTTCAGAATTAATGCCTATCAATGGTTGTGCTATTCCCTCTAAAACATCTTTAAAAAACTTTAAATTCCTCTTTGTTCTCCATTCTCTTCCAAAATGCTTCTCCAATAAATTGTTTACATCCGTTAACTTGAAAATGTCGGTGAAATGCAATTCGGATTCCGCCAGTCCATGAATCTCAATATTAAAAAAATTAAATTTGGGCACTAATGGCAGGTAGCGAAGAGATCCAGAGAGTCGACAGATTCACTTACCTCGGAACTACCCTCAACGTACAATGGGACTACGCTCAAGAGATTAGATCCAGAATTGAAATGGCACGGTCTACATTTATTAAGTTGAGATCCTTGCTGTGCTGCAGTGATCTCAGTTTGGGAACCAAGATGCGGATAGTGAGGTGCTACGTTCTTTCAGTGTTACTATATGGAGTTGAAGCCTGGACACTGACACAAGCCACTGAAAAACGAATCGAAACCTTCGAGATGTGGATGTACAGAAGGATAATAAACATATCTTATGTGGACCATGTCACCAACGTTGAGGTCCTACAGCGCATGACAAAAGAAAAAGAAGTGCTTAGTTTAATTAAACAACGTAAGCTTGAGTACCTCGGCCACGTGATACGGAACGAAGAAAAATATCGAATTCTTCAACTCGTTATGCAGGGTATAGTATTTGGCAGAAGAGAATCGGGACGCCGCGCCGTCGTATCTCGTGGTTGAAAAATCTCCGACAATGGTTTGGGATGAACTCAGCGGAGCTGTTTCGCAGAGCAGTCAACAAAACCATGATAGCCTTGATAATCGCCAACATCCGGACCATATAAGGCACTGAAGAAGAAGAACTTGACAAGTTTTACTGGTACACCCATTGGAATAAATTCTGGAGAAAGATTCTCCAACTTTTTGAATTTTTTTTTATTAACTTGGGTATTCTAGTGTCTGAGCAATAAAAAGGTTCTCCCTGAACCATAACTTTTGAACTACGATTTTTTGTTAGTTAAAATCTCTTGGCATCGGAAAACTTAAAATGCCAGGAACCCACGGTTTTTAGAAAATCACCAACAGCAGATTTCCAGTCCATAACGAGACAATCTTGCCCTAAATTTCTTACAGTGCCGTGTTCGTTAAATAGGTTCAAATATATTTTAGAATCGATGATAGTCGAATTTTTTTTAATTCTTGTTCAATTCGCCCGAACGCCCTATTAGGTGCTAAATATGAATGTCCAGGAACAGGAAAAATGATTTCTATAGTTTTAATGTAAGGTGGTGCAATCTTAGAAAAAAAGTAAGACAACATACCTACCATTGTTGAATTACGATTTTGTCCACCGCATCCGTCAGCAAACAGTCGTAGGTCCGAATGAGACGGCAAATCAGCTTGTGATAGTGCATGATAAACTGTTGAAGAGATTTCATTTGAAACTTTCTTATGTTGATGTTCCAATCAAGTATAAATATGAACGTTTTCTTTAGACATTTTTGCTCTGGAAGATCCTTGAACCACAGTATCTGTTGTAGGTGTATAACTATCTGCTGTAATGGACAATTTGGTCAGAGACCTTGGGATTGACCAAATTCTTTTGACAGTCAAATGAATAGGTTATTAAATTAAGATATAACTTCTTAAGTTTGTTAAAAAAAGTATTGGCTTTTAGCTTATGTACCCATTTCTCTGGTACCTTTTGGGTACCAGAGAAAAAGGGTACATAAAGGGTACCTCTGTATTCTTTAATGGTGGTCAGTACCCAGAGGTACTTTATTTGAGGGTATTCAAAATTTTGATATAACACTGACTCAGAAAATTATCGACCCTGTTAAGCCATATGTATACGCTCTTCACAAAAATCATAAAACCGAGATTGGATAAAAAAACTAGACACGTACCAAACCAGAGAACAAGCGAGATTTCGATCAAAATTTGGCACCAACGACCACCTAAACCGATAAAACAACTCATTCAATTTCCACAAAGCGTTCTCGGTAGAACTAGATAGTGTAATTAAAACATTAAGTGACAGTCGCATTGATAGATGTTATTTCAGATTTATTTCTATAAATATTAGTAGAAGAAGAAGCAGAAACAAATTGATCGAAAGTGGTAAATCGATGTAATGAAACGTTCTTTTGTGATGGTACGAAAATGCTATTTTCGTGACGCTCGTCTTTGCATTTTACTATAGAGAAAAAATTATTACAACGACAGTATAGAGCTTAGCTTTAAAAAAAGCGGAACACAAAAAGCGACAGGAAACATCCAACAACATTCCTAAGGAATAATAATACGGAAATAATTGTAGGAATATGGAACAAACTCATGAAATAAAAAAAATACATTCAAACACCGAAATATAAAATGGTTGTGATGACTGCCAGCCATGGTGAAGGAGATAGACGGATAACAATACAAAAATCGCGTAATATTCACAAGTAGAGCTTTTAGTAAACGACAATTTGTTTATATAAATTACAAGCAGAAAATAAATCCGTATTAAGTGATTACGAAAAATTATTTTTTATGGAAACTATTATTTATTAAAAATATTTTGCCTCAAGTACTTCTAAGCTATCATTTATATTGAACTAGTAAATATTTGGTAACGAAATACCATTTTAAATAATTTATCGATAAAAGTATATCATAGATTTCTTTGTATTAATCTTAGTCAGGATTCTTTGAAGGTCGCTTCGAAAAGACCAACGATATTCGTGAGATGATCATGTCAGATCGTAACATTGCTTTAGATTTATTCTTGTCTTACATTTTTAAAAATAGTTTATCCGTTTATTTCCTTCGGACGCAACTATGTTGTGAAAAATGTTATTTCGATGGTATAATAAATGGTTTCTAAATATAAAAAATGTTAAGTTCAATTGGTTTGATTTATCGAATTTTCTCAGAAATGTTAAAATTAATTGTTAATTTTTAGAGTTGATAATTATACGAACTATTTTGGTAAATAGAAATTTGTTTTCGGATAAATTATCCTCGGTGATTTTTTTAGATAGTTTTTTGTCGACACCCGCAATGACTAAATGAAAGTTTTGTTGATCATTTAGAACGGGTTTTTAGATTTTTAGATTAGGGGGGTTTTTAGATTTGAATCCTGAATTTATGGAAATATTGCTATCTCCGGTGATTTATTGAAGTTTTGCCGTGAGATTTTTGAGGTCTAGAAGTTTAGTAGTTCGTACGGAAGCTGCTTTTTGGGTTGGGAAGATTTTATTGGGTCTAAACCTGGGATAAGATCGTTTTCTTTGATAAGTCGGTAGAATGGTCTCTGCTGACAAATGTCTGGAGGAATGTCCTTCATTGTGTGGTGATTGTTGTGTGTTGGTTGTTTGTAATTGTGTAGGTGTTGGTTGAGTGTGTATTGGTGGGAGTGTATTTTGTCTTTGTAAAGGTGTATATATATAAAACGTAGAATAGCAATGTCCAAAAGTACTTTTATAAAAATGAAGTCATTTCTTTGCAATAACCATCTCAGTTTAGAACTAAGGCAAAGAATAGTAAAGTACTATGTTTGATCGTACTTTTGTATAGTGCAGAAGTGTGAACGCTAAAAGTATCGGTCATGAACAAAATTTAAGCATTGGAAATGTGGGTTCATAGACGAATTCTGAAGATACCTTACAGCAAGGAAAACTAATGAAGAAGTACTAACGAGCGTCAACAAAGATAGAGAACTGCTAAAGACTGTTAAACATCGAAAAATGTCTTAACTGGGACATATAGTAAGGGGAAGTCGATATAAAATATTACAACTGATCCTTAAAAGCAAAATAGAGGGTCGTAGAGGTGTAGGAAGAAAACAAGTTGCTTCGTTAAAAAACATTCGTGAATGGACTCAGACACCAAATGCAGGACAATTATTTTATAAACTTTGAAAAATAAGGCTATTATCGAGCACAAGTTAATTAAATCTAGCTTAAGTACTTTTGCTTAAAATAGCATCTTCAGGGGCATCTGAAATAAGC